CTTAGAATTTTTGTTTCACTATTAACACAATAAATAGCAAAATTCCACAAACACTAATTCTGAATATTTTTTCTGTAACCCTATTGATTGAAACCAAGAACATGAATCTAAACTTATACTGCCATTCTTGTCTTTAATTTTATCAAAAGTTCATCATTTTCTCCCTACGATTGGTTTTGCAGTTTTACTCTTTCGTATATCATATAACCTATTACTGTCATCTACCATAAAGATACTAATTATTTCCTATAAGTTTTTGAGCAACCTAAGAATCACCTGTGGACCTTGTTTAACATGTAAGGCTTCTCACCCTATCCCAAAATTTTGATTCAGTGGGTTTAGGGTGGTTCCTGGAAATGTGCATTTTAACAAGCCGGCAGATAATTCTGATATAGGTGGTTCTTACAACACAGTTCAGGAAACATAGCCGTAAACACTTACAACACCGTGTTTCTGAAGCTGTTTTGCATCAGTACATCAGTAATTGGTCAGAGAAGCATATGTTTTGATGAGTATGAAATTACTTAGAAAGGAAGCCATTCAGTCACACGTGGCAGTGCCCTCAAAGGGTTGCTGTCAAACTTAGTTTGTCTGTCCAATTTTGGTCCCCACAGTATTGTGTAGGATGTTACAAAATCAGTGAGGATCATGCCTCCTGGTTTATTCACTGCCAGTAGAGAAATATTGCACTCTCAAACGCTGCCTGGAGATTCATAAGAAACATGCCATTTGTTATGATGCTTAGCAATTTCAAAAACCACAGACAGTCTACTAAATGTGGCTCCTACGACCCCTTCATTTAATGCTTCTAGCCCTCTTTATGCATATCCTCCGTAATTATAGTTTGCTTTTTTAGAACTGACACACACACCAAAGAAAAAAAATCAGTAAAACCATGGAAGAAGATTGAAGTAAATTTGAAACTTCAAATACATACAAAGAAATTCCCCGTAGACTGTATGGGAGTCATAATTCCCAGAAGGAGTGTTTTCAAGGAGGATAAAATGACATACTATATTTTTTCTCAGTTCTTACTTAAAAGCTAAGAATTTGGGGTTAATTTATATGTCAATATCTATATATCTATATATTGATGTTTATATATGTCAATCATTACATATATTTTTTTTTTTTTTTTTGAAACGGAGTCTCGCTATGTCACCAGGCTGATGTGCAGTGGCATGATTTTGGCTCACTGCAAGGTTCAAGCAATTTTCCTGCCTCAGCCTCCCGAGTAGCTGGGACTACAGGCGCACACCACCACGCCCCGCTAATTTTTTGTATTTTAGCAGAGACAGAATTTCGCTGTGTTACCCAGGCTGGTCTTGAACTCCTGAGCTCAGGCAATGCGCCCACCTCAGCCTTCCAAAGTGCTGCGATTACAGGTGTGAACCACCGTGCCCGGCCTGGGGTTTATTATTTTTTCTTCCAGAATATGTTTTCTTTTGAAGGCATTTATCTTTAACAATCAGAAAAGAGTATCTAGAAATTCAAATATCACAAATTAAACTCATGACGGTCTCAAATATGAGTTATTTATGCACAATGCAATACTTTCAAGACAAAAGTGGCATAAGCCAAAAAGCACATAGTATGAGTAATTTTTGAGTCTGGATGAAAGTCAGTGTGCCATATGAACAGTAGTTATGTGGAGGTTATTGTCTATCGTCATTCCTTCAAGACTGTCACAAGAACAAGCAGAAACAAGCAGAAAGTCTGGGAAGAAAAGGAAGCAACCACAGATAACAGGAAATTCACCCAATGCACCTCAATCTATTATTGGTTTGGCTTGTAAATGGCAGTTTCAATGAATACATAGATGAGTTACTCAAAAACAGAAGAGGGCCAGGTGCAGTGGCTCATGCTTATAATCCCAACACTTTGGGAGGCAGAAATGGGAGGCTCACTTGAGGTCAAAAGTTCAAGACAAGCCTGGGCAGCATGGTAAGACCCCATCTCTACAAAAAAATTTTAAAATTATCCAGGTGTGATGGTGTGCACCTGTAGTCCTAGCCACTTGGGAGGCTGAGACAGAAGAATAGCTTGATCCCAGGAGTTCAAGGTTCCAGTAAACTATGATCAAGCCACCGTATTCCAGCCTGAGCAACAAAGGAGACCCTGTCTTTAAAATACACACACACACAAAGAGAGAGAGAGAGAGACAGAGAGAGTTCGCCTTCCATTTGAGACACTTCGAATTGCCTTTCATACCTCCATTTTTATTAAAGGTCCAAGTTCAAAGACTGCAGGAGTCCCTCTCTCTTACTCTGAATTCTCTTAGTGTTCCTCACACTTTTATATAGGCCATTAGGACATGGTATTTCTAAAACCACCTGTTCATCACAATAAAAGGATTATTATAATTTACATTGATCCATGATGTCAATCATGATGACAGTAGCTACTATTTATTGATCCGTTATTGTGACCAGGTCTCAGCTAAGCAAGACCACTGTCAACTGTTGTGGCACTTTTATGTGCCTTCATTTATGGTGCATGTAATCCTCTCGGGGATGCATGGCTTGAGTAGAAAACCCCCACAGCCATTTGTGTTGTGTTAAGTATAACTCTAGGGAGTAGGAAAGGGAAGCTCAGTGACATCAAATAGCTTGTCCTGGATCAGTCAGCTGGTAAGTGGCAGATTATGGACTTCCACTGAGGTCTGCCTCCAAAGACAATGCTCTTACTGTATAAACCATAGGCCTACACTAGACAAAGTCATTGGTACAGTCTCATGTGATCTATTATAATAAAGAGTAAACATGGCGTTCAGCACACTGATTGAATAAATTATAATTGGTTAAAGACATTCAGAATTGCAACAAATCTTAAAACAAGATAGAGAGTGAATTATTGAACTCTTGTGCTCTTGAAATAAAAGAGGTCTGTGACTACACAAGATTTTTTTCATTATGTCACATTACAAAGTATTACATTCCACTCTGCGTGGTGCCCAAGGCTCTTTAGGATTGGTCTCTCTGATTCTCACACTTCATCTCTTGCCTCTTCTCTCCCACCCTGCTCCCTCGCAGAATTAGTTACGGTTCCCAGAATACATTTTATACCTCCCTTCCTCAGCTTTGGTCCTTTGCTATGAACTTTTTTTCTTTTTTATTTCTTTTTTTGACTCAATGATCTTCCTCCCTTTGTCTTCATAGCTGCAACTTGTCCCTGAGAATTCAGCCCATACAGCATCTACTCTAGGAAACTTTTCTGCTTTGTATGCCCCAGTTTAGAATAAGTGTCTCTCAATGTGTTCCAGTTAGACCCTGTGCACGGATCTAGCCTGGTACTTATCCCACTCTGTACTCACTTGCTTACTGCATTTCTCTGCATCTCAATGATTGAGACTGTCATATTTGTGTTTATATCCCCTTTACCTGGCATGTGCCTAGTGTGTGGTAACCATAAAGGCATTTTGAATAGAAGAATGGGAGAATCAATGAATGGCAAAGGGTGTTAATGAAAAGTGGAACTCAGTCTTCCATGATAAGAATAACATGAATGCTAAATTCTCTTATTAACTGAGAAGAAACCACTGGAGGCATCTCATTCATTTCTATTCAATTCCACCACCAGGACATAAAAGGATTTTTCTCTATTCTTTGGACCCTTTAGGAGTTTTCCCCCTTTAACGCCTTTCTACCCTTCCTCCATAACAAGGCAATCACCACCATGTCTGTAGTACAAACTACCTGCACACTGGCAAGTTGTAGGCATAAATACTTTGGTCTAGTCAAAACAAAAGCAGATCTGTCAAGAGGAAAGGTCATGGCAAGTGTTTTGGGATGCTTGAGGCATTTTGCTTGTTGTCTTTCTAAAGGGCCAAAGAATGACAACATCTGCTTATTATGAGAGTGTTTTGAGAAAGCTAGCAAAAGTTTTAGCAGAAAAACACCCGGGCCTGGGCATAGGGGCTCATGCCTGTAATCCTAGTACTTTGGGAAGCTGAGATGGGCAGATTGCTTGAGCTCAGGAGTTTGAGGACCATGGGCAACATGGCCAAACCCCATTTCTAAAAATAAAAAATTTAAAAACCAGCCAGATGTGGTGACACGTGCCTGTGGTCTCAGCTACTAGGGAGTCCAAGGTGAGAAAATTGCTTGAGCCCAGGAGGTGGAGGCTGCAGTGAGCCATGATTGTGTCACTGCACTCCAGCTTGGGTGACAGAGTGAGACCCTGAGATAAAAAGAAGGGGAGAAAGAAAGAGAGAGAGAGAGAAGGAAAGAAAAAGAAGGAAGGAAGGAAGGAAGGAAGGAAGGAAGGAAGGAAGGAAGGAAGGAAGGAAAAAGAAAGAAAGAAAGAAAGAAAGAAAGAAAGAAAGAAAGAAAGAAAGAAAGGAGAAAGAAAGAAAGAAAGAAAGAAAGAAAGAAAGAAAGAAAGAAAGAAAGAAAGAGAAAAGAAAGAAAGAAAGAAAGAAAGAAAGAAAGAAAGAAAGAAAGAAAGAAAGAAAGACAATGGAAAGAAAGAAAGAAAGAAAGAAAGAAAGAAAGAAAGAAAGAAAGAAAGAAAGAAAATTGAAAGAAAGAAAGAAAGAAAGAAAGAAAGAAAGAAAGAAAGAAAGAAAGAAAGAAATCTGAAAGAAAGAAAGAAAGAAAGAAAGAAAGAAAGAAAGAAAGAAAGAAAGAAAGATGCATGAAAGAAAGAAAGAAAGAAAGAAAGAAAGAAAGAAAGAAAGAAAGAAAGAAAGAACCAAGAAAGAAAGAAAGAAAGAAAGAAAGAAAGAAAGAAAGAAAGAAAGAAAGAAAGATTATCGAAAGAAAGAAAGAAAGAAAGAAAGAAAGAAAGAAAGAAAGAAAGAAAGAAAGAGTTGAGAAAGAAAGAAAGAAAGAAAGAAAGAAAGAAAGAAAGAAAGAAAGAAAGAAAGACTGCAGAAAGAAAGAAAGAAAGAAAGAAAGAAAGAAAGAAAGAAAGAAAGAAAGAAAGAGTTCAGAAAGAAAGAAAGAAAGAAAGAAAGAAAGAAAGAAAGAAAGAAAGAAAGAAAGATTGAGGAAAGAAAGAAAGAAAGAAAGAAAGAAAGAAAGAAAGAAAGAAAGAAAGAAAGACTATTGAAAGAAAGAAAGAAAGAAAGAAAGAAAGAAAGAAAGAAAGAAAGAAAGAAAGACTAACGAAAGAAAGAAAGAAAGAAAGAAAGAAAGAAAGAAAGAAAGAAAGAAAGAAAGAGGCCCGAAAGAAAGAAAGAAAGAAAGAAAGAAAGAAAGAAAGAAAGAAAGAAAGAAAGATTAACGAAAGAAAGAAAGAAAGAAAGAAAGAAAGAAAGAAAGAAAGAAAGAAAGAAAGAACCCTGAAAGAAAGAAAGAAAGAAAGAAAGAAAGAAAGAAAGAAAGAAAGAAAGAAAGAGACCCGAAAGAAAGAAAGAAAGAAAGAAAGAAAGAAAGAAAGAAAGAAAGAAAGAAAGATCCCAGAAAGAAAGAAAGAAAGAAAGAAAGAAAGAAAGAAAGAAAGAAAGAAAGAAAGATTACAGAAAGAAAGAAAGAAAGAAAGAAAGAAAGAAAGAAAGAAAGAAAGAAAGAAAGAAGAGCGAAAGAAAGAAAGAAAGAAAGAAAGAAAGAAAGAAAGAAAGAAAGAAAGAAAGACTTTTGAAAGAAAGAAAGAAAGAAAGAAAGAAAGAAAGAAAGAAAGAAAGAAAGAAAGACTGATGAAAGAAAGAAAGAAAGAAAGAAAGAAAGAAAGAAAGAAAGAAAGAAAGAAAGATCATGGAAAGAA